AAAAAAAAAAAGAAATCCTCATCAACTGGTTGTTTTGAAAGACCAGTGGTTATAACCAATGGTTTGTCCAGAGCTTCTATCACTTACCTTTATTTTATTTTAATGTCAGTCATGGGGCTTGGACTCAGGGCCTGGGTGCTGTCCCTGAGATTTTCTGTTCAAGGTTAGCACTCTACCACTTTGAGCCACAGAACCACTTCTGGTTTTCTAGTGGTTCACTGGAGATCAGAGTCTCATGGAGCTTCCTAACTAGGCTGGTTTTGAGCCATAATCTTCAGATATCAGATCTCAGTTTACTGAGTAGCTAGAATTATAGGCATGAGCCACCAGTGCCTAGGCTTGAACCCAGGGCCAAGTCCTATCCCTCGGCTTCTTTTGCTCAAAGCCAGCACTCTACCACTTGAGCCACAGCTCTGCTTCCGGCTTTTTGGTAGTTTATTAGAGATAAGACTTTCCTGCCTAGGCTGGCTTCAAACTGCAATCTACATTTTAGCCTCTTGAGTAGCTAGGATTATAGGAGTGAGCCACTGGCGCCCAGTTTATCACTTAGCGCCTTTTAGAATAAATGGTGGTGCTTCCAGTGAGATTATTTTACTCAGTGTCATTACAGACTTGGGGATTTTGTGCATTCATTCTTTTGTTGGTGGAGGAGTACTTGTTGAGGCTCATGCTGTCCCATCTTTGTCCAATGGGACCCACTGCAAGGTGTTTCCCGTGTTCTTTGTTGTTATTGTTGTTGTTGTTGATCGTGGTGCTTGAACTCTAGGTCTGGGTGCTCTGTTCCTGTGCTCTTCAGCTCAAGGTGAGCGCTGCACCACTTGAGCCATAGCACCACTTCTGGTTTTCTGGTGGTTAATTGGAACTAAGAGTCTCATGGACTTTCCTGCCTGGGCTGACTTTGAGACTCAGATCTCAGCTTCCTGAGTAGCTAGGATTACACGCATGAGCCACCGGTGCCTGGCTCCTGTGTTCTCTTGACATGACTGATGTAGCCTTTGGAATTTTGCTCTCTTTGACATGACAAGGTATTTCAAGTTCATCTTGCACATTTCCTGTCGTAGATAAGGACTCTGCTATTTCTCTGAGGGTCTCTGGTCATGCCAGTGAGCACAATCCTTGAATGTGAGGATGCTTCTGGGTTGGCACTTTGCGGGTGTTTCCTGTGGTCATAATGCTTAGTTTCTCAGAAACAAGCATATTCACACTAGAGCCAAGCACTCATGGTTCACGTCTATAATCGCAGCTACTCAGAAGAGCCACAGCTTTTACTTCCAGCTTTTTGCTGTTTAATTGGAGATAAGATTCTCATAGAAAGCCGGGCGCTGGTGGCTCACGCCTGTAATCCTAGCTACTCAGGAGGCTGAGATCTGAGGATCACGGTTCAAAGCCAGTCCGGGCAGGAGAGACTGTGAGACTCCTATCTCCAATAAACAACCAGAAAACCGGAAGTGGCGCTGTAGCTCAAGTGGTAGAGCGCTCACCTTGAGCTGAAGAGCTGAGGGACAGCGCCCAGGCCCAGAGTTCAAGCCCCACGGCCGACCAAAAAAAAAAAAAAAAATCTCAGGCCCAATTTAGCATGGTTAGCGAATTCTCAGGGAAACCGTGGTGGGCTTACAGCATAAAAGTTAAAAAGAGGAAAAGTAGGCATAGGAAGAAAATCAAGACTTAGAAAACCAAAGATGAGCCCAGTGCTTGGTGGCTCATGCCTGTAATCCTAACTACTCAGGAGGCTGAGATCTAAGGGTCTTGGTCTGTGAGACTTTTACCTCCAGTGAACCACCAGAAGACCAGAAGTGGCACTGTGGCTCAAAGTGGTAGTGTTGTTAGCTTTGAGCAAAAGCACTTAGGAGCCAGGCACCAGTGGCTCACGCCTGTAATGCTAGCTACTCAGGAGGCTGAGATCTGAGGACCACGGTTCAAAGCCAGCCCAGGCAGGAAACTCCATGAGACTCTTATCTCCAATAAAATACTAGAAAACTGGAAGTGGCGCTGAAGTGGCGCTGTGGCTCAAGCAGTGGAGTGCTCATCTTGAGCTGAAGAGCACAGGGACAGAGCCCAGGCCCAGAGTTCAAGCCCCATGAATGACAAAAAAAAAAAAAGTGGTAAATTTTCTCTAGTACATACTCCACATCCATTTTATAAGCTCTGTCTGAAAGGCTCAGTACAATTATTTTTGGCTAAAAGCAGTGGAGGAAGAAAAAAGCAGACTGGGTGTTGGGATGAAAGACACAAAGTATATGATGTTATTTCTGAACTGTTTCTGACAGGCTATTAAACATCTTAGATAGCTTCCATGCCCCAGGCAGGTAACTAAAGCAACTCATGTCTTGTCCTGTCCTTTCTGGGAAAATGATAGTTCTGTGAGGATTATAGCTAGGGTTCAAGATGCTGCCATAAACTTACCTCATAGAGGCCACAAGTATCTGGGTGGAAGACCTTTTTATGGGGTTTTGTTACCCCTGAATACCCTCTGAGTCTTACTGAGGATAAAATTCCTTTGCCCAGAACAGTCTTGGTGAGAAGTGTTTCCAACTAGCATTTTATGGCAAATTTTAAACCCTGACTGAAAATTTATTTTGTAAATGCTGCCAGCATCGATATACAACCACCAACTGTGTTTTCAATGACTTTTCCCCTCTAAGATTTAAGTCCACAGGAATATATGTGTAGGACCATTTAACAAGTCCTTAACACATAATTCAAGCAACATGGACATGGATGAGCCGTTGTAGTCTTCTTCTCCCCCTCCTCCCCCTCTTCCCCTTCCTCCTCCTCTTCTTCCTCCTCCTCCTCTTCCTCCTCCTTTCTTCTTTTCTTCTTCAAGATATGAGGCCCAGAAAGCATATCAGAAGGATTTCATCATCAGGAGGACCAAATTTCAAGTTTAGAAAGCTCTAAAGTCAGAAGCTCCAGATCTCTGACCTTTATTCGTGTATCTCAGTCATAGCGAAATTTCATCACACTTGTACCCACAAGTTGTAGACAGATGCTTTGATTTAAAGGATGTTATCTTGTTTTCTGCCTGTGCCTGGACTGGGGTTGAACTCAGGGGTGGTAGGCAAACACTCTGCCATGTGAGTCATGTTCCCAGTCCTTTCTGCTTTAGGTGATTTTTCAGCTAGTGTCTCACTTTGTGCCAGGGCCAGCGATACTCCTCTCTTTGCCATCTGTGTAGCTGGGATCACAGGCATGTTCTACCACACCTAGGCTGTCTGTTGCAAAGGAGGTCTTATTAACTTTTTGCCCAGGCTGTCCTCAAACTGAAGTCCTCCCAATCTGTACCTCCTAAGTAGCTTGGATTATAAAGTAG